CACACACAGACACACACACACACACACACACACACACACACACACACACACACACGTACACACAGACACACACACACACACACACACACACACACACACACACACACACACACACACACACACACACACACACACACACACACACACACGATGACAGATTAAAGATTTAACATGTGGAGGATCATGGCGTCTGTTTTGTGACAAACAGAGAAACAGAAGCTGCTGATTGGACAGAAACCAGGATCCAATGGGAATTCAGTTCTGAGACTAAACGTTCCCATTTATATCAGAACCAATATCCACTAAGCCAGAAAACTCTTCTGCTTCTCTGAACCCACAGACACATCTGATTAGTTCAAAGACTCCACAGCACCATCTGTCTGAACCATGATGCACATTTCCCCTCTGTGGGACGAATAAAGTTATTCTGATTCTGATTCTGATTCTGATTCTGATTCTGATTCTGAAAGCGCAGGGAAACATCCCAACATGTGTCATGGTTCAGGCACTGAACATCCAATGGGAGTTTAGTATTGGATTAAACTTCCTCATTGAGTTACGTCATCAAACCAGACGTCTTCATATCAACCAAAAACAGGGATTGCGTCATAAACAAAAACACAAACACTGAAACCAATATGAATCCAATGGGAGTTTTCTATTGGACGAACGACATCAAAGTTTAAATAAAACAAAAACTCATTTTATGGTTGTTTGTTTACATCTTTCAACCAAAGTCCAAAAACAACATTTAATCTAAAATCAATGGGAGTCTAGAACTGGGACTAAAGTGTCTGAATGATCACCAACCTCCAAATCAGCAGGAACACAAAGCAGCTCCAGCTCAAACCAATAGGAACCCAATGGGATGTTTTCCATTAACATCACCAGAGAAATATGTTTATAATCTTTAAACTGAAGCAGAGCTTTGAATCAGCTTCATATCTTCAGGAAAGCAGCGTGGTCATGGTGACGATGGCGTACCAGAAGCACTCTTTGATCTGCTCTATTTGTTTATGTCCTATATGTATTCATGTTGCTCTGTCGGAGGAGCCTGGGGCCTCAGTTTGAGTATGTGGCTGATGACATGATGATAAAGCCTTGAAACTTGAATCTTACCCCAGCGTGGTCATGGTGACGATGGTGTACCAGAAGGCGGCGGGGATGCTCGTGAACTTGCTGGCGCTCGATCCCTTCTCGGCGTAGAACATGATGGTGGCGAAGATGATGATGGCCATGGTGAGCGAGAACAGCAGGAAGCCCAGCTCCGAGGCGCAGCTCTTCAGCGTGTAGCCGAGGATCCGCAGCCCGGCCGAGTGCCGCGAGAACTTGAAGATCCGAAACACCCGGAAGACTCTGAGCGTGACGAAGGCGCCGCTCACGTCCTCGTTGTCCGTCATCACGAGTCCGATGTAGTACGGCATGATGGCCACCACGTCTATAACGCTCATCACGCTCTTCACAAAGTTGTAGCGGCTCGGAGCCACCAGGAGGCGCAGCAGATATTCCATCGTGAAGATCAAGACGCACGCCGTGTCCAAACAGAAGAAGGCCAGCGCGTAACGCTCGCCACACGACACATCCTTCAGGCGACTGTGCGCACTGGCACAAGGCACCGTCTCCGCCACGTTGGCCATTACCGACACGGCGATGAAGAACCCGGTGACGTAGTAGAAGACGAGCGCCATGGTGGAGGTGTGCGGGTTCTCGAAGGCTCGCCACAGCTTCTCGCGGTAGTTCAAGTCCATCGCCAGCAGGTCCTTCCCGCTCTCCATCTCCTCGTCGTCCGCGATGCGCTCCTGGTTCTCCCTCCGCCGGTCCTTGTACTCCTCGTAGCAACAGTCCCCGATGATCTCCGGGATGATGCCAAAGAAGGCCAGCTCCTCGTCGTACGCCGCGATGCACTCCTGCCGCGGGTAGTGCAGCTTCCCGGTGCGGTAGAAGTTCAGGATGTGGCGGAAGATGTCCGGGTCGCGGTCGAAGAAGTACTCCCCGGTGTCCTGGTGGAAGAAGAACTCTCGCTCCGTGGAGCCCAGCAGGGTGTCCGGGTATCGCTCCAGCGTGTCGCGCCACGTCTGGAACTTGGCGCCGCTCACGTTCAGCATGATGAGACCGTTCTGCACGCGCCGCTGGTCCCGAGGCGGCAGCGGCATGGAGGCGCTCGCCACCGGCATCCACCCGATGGCCGCCGCGCGGGCGAAGGGCATCCAGGCCGACCCGCTTCTACTACTACCGGTACCACTCGCTCTTGTCGTCCTTCGGGTCGAGGCTCCGCGTCGAGAAGTCGCACATCGGCTCCTAGGCGTCGGGCCGGCTCACGGCGCTCTTGAACTTCTAGGCTTTGTGGGCCTTCTGAGACTCGCACTGCTTCCGCGGCGAGTGCAGGAGCAACAGGCAGTAGTGCTCAGGCTACATCATGCCGTACTACCGGTGGTGCAGATATTGCGAGTAGTGCGAGAAGTGTTTCAACATCGCCGAGCCTCGGTGGTCCTCCGCGTCGTCTATAAGGTAGCACTTCTAGTTCTGCGTGCGGCACAGGTTTGTCTTCTTCCGGTCGCGCATTGCGAGCGGTGTGCTGTGTAGGAAGTCCGCTGACACGCGTGACCGTGTTCCGTGGCAGAGGCGGTGCAACCGGTAATGGCTGTGCCGCTACTTCTTGGGCCACTGCATCATCTTCTGCTCGCGGTACCACCTCCACACGCCCAAGAGCTTCCGAGCGGTGTCGAAGAGCGCCATCAAGTTCAGGTAGCGGTCGTCCAGGAAGGGCGAGAGGTAGAGGAGCAGCAGGCGCTACGCGAGGACCAAGAGGGAGGCGGCCAGGAACATGAGGAGCATCGTTGTCAGGGGCTACTAGAGGCCCTACTACGGTTTCTTCCGGTCGAGGAGCAGCATGCGGCGCTACGTGAGGACGGCGCCCATCACGTCGAAGGGCCACGCCATCTTCAAGTCCTACACCGCCTTCTACAGGCCCAGCGCCAGCTTCTTCATGAGGGGCCACAGGACCACCTTCTTCTTGAGAGCGAGGCACCTCGGGTCGTCCCACAGGCCCATAGCGAGGTCGCACAGCGCGGTGCAGACCTTGAACCGCGGCGAGTGCAAGTCGTACTACTCTGGCAAGACGTGCGCGGCGACCAGGGCTCCGCCGTCGCCGTACCTCCGCGAGCGGTGGCCGTAGGTGGGCTACCGGCGGCGCGCCCGCTTCCCGTAGGTCCGGCTGTGACGTGCGGCGGTATTCTCAGATTATCCCCCCCCAGGTCCATCGTCCCCCCCAGTCTATTGTCCCCCCCAGTCCATTCGTCGCACCCCCCAGTCCATCGTCCAGTCCACCATCCCCTCAGTCCAGTCCCCCAGTCCACCATCCCCTCCAGTCCATCGTCCCCCCAGTCCCACCGTTGAAGATAAGATAAACTAAGATGTCGATTTCTTTCTTAAACTTTCCACTACTAATAATCTCAGTAATTTCTTGAAGTCAAGTTATTTATGAAAGTTTCTGCAGAATTCTTTTACTTCCTTTATAATACTTTTTAGACTTTCTACAGATTTTTTTTACCCCCTTTATTATTCCATTTTTTCATAAACAATTTTACAGAAGTTTGTCTGTACTTTGTTTAGGGACTTTACATAAAACAAAGACAGTTTTTTACTTAACATTATTTATTTATTTTTTTTTATATTATTAGTCATCTTTATTATTTACTACGTTATTACATTTCACTTGAACGATAATAAACTACGACACTAACACAACGAGACAACCTCCTCCTCGGACCCTGTATTCGATTACACCGTTTACTGTTATTTTTCGGGAACTTACAACTCTACGCCTCTTCTCGTCGATGAGGGCGCTCCACAATCGTCGCCCGTAGCTACGCATCGTGGACGTCAATCTTCTTTCCCTTCTTCTTCTCATTCGTTGGACCCCCCTCTCCCCCCCCCCCCCCCCCCTCCCCCCCCCCCCCCTCCCCCCCCCCCCCCCCCCCCCCCCCCCCGCCCCCCCCTCCCCCCCGCTCGCCCGCCTCCCGCCCGTGGCCTACGTTTGACTCGCGCGGGGCCCCTAGGGGCTACGCATCGTGGCCGCAATCCTTCGCTTTTCCCTTCTGGCCTCTTTCTTCTCATCGTTAGGAGAGGACCTTGTTGTCTTCTCCTCTTGTTGCAGTCCTTCTCGTACGACGTTCACACACTACTTTGTTTTTTGTACAATCTTTTCCTGATGGTCGTTCTCTTTTCTCTTTGTTTTGCTGGGAGGGTCTCAAGTCTTTGGCGTGCTTTGTAGAGACGGCTGTTCCAGCATTTGGAGCGGTGGAGGCCGGGGCGACACAAGGGGCGAGTCGCACGGACAAAGGGGCCGTCCGTTTTCGCAGAGAGACGGGGCCCCTTTGTGGTGAGGACTCAGGGGCGACCTGTGTCGAGGCTCGTAGCCCCCTCCTTCCTCTCTGGCTCTCCTCCTGCCAACCGACGCCGCCTTGTCCGTCGCGACTCCGCCCTTGTTTGTCGCCCCCCGGCTGCACCTAAGATGCCTGGAATAGCCTCTCAATAAGTCACTCAAAGACTTAGACTCCCTAAGCAACAAAAGAGAGAAGAGGGAACGACCATCAGCGAAAAATTGGGTACGAACAAAGTAGTGTTGAACTCCCCGTACCGAAGAGCGACCTGCCGCACAGAGAGAAGACAACAAGTGTCCTCTCCCGATGAGAGAAGAAGGGAAAGAAAGGATTTGACCGGCCACCGATGCGGTAGCTTAGCGGCACGCATGTGGAGCCGCTCCTCGATAGCCGAGGAGGCGTGAGAGTTTGTTAAGTTCCGAAAAAATAACGAGTGAACGTGTATTCGTCACAGGTCGAGGAGGAGGGGTTGGGTCTCGTCGTGTTAGTTTGTCGCTTAGATTATATCCGGTTCAAGTGATATATCATGCCAGGGCCGTAGTAAATACCTAAAGTATGACTAAGCTATCAAAAATACAATAAATAAAATCATGTTAAGTAAAAAACTCGTTTTGTTTTTATGTAAAGGTCCTAACAAAGTTACAGACAAAACTCTGTAAAATTGTTTATGAAAAAATGATAATAGGTAAGGGGGTAAAAAAATTCTTGTTAGAAAGTCTAAAAATATTGTAAAGCGAACGTAAAAATTCTGCAGAACTTTCATAAGTCTCTCGCACTCTCAGAAATTAGCTTGAGCATTATTAGTAGGTGGAAGTGGAAGATCGCATTTATGGTTTATCTTTATCTGTTCGAGACCGGTGGAATGGGGGGTCGCTGGATGACGCGGGATGGTGGACTGGGGGGGACGCGCGATTGGACTGAGGGATTCGGTGTGGACTGTGGGCGGGTGGGGACGATCGGACTGGGGTGTGGACGATTGGGACTGGGGGGGGCGACAATAGACTGGGGGGGACCGATGCGCGCTGGGGGAGGATTTATGCTGACGTAATACCGCCCACCCC